TGTAGTGACCCCCCATATCCCCTCCCACGTAGGGACCCCCACTCCCATATGGGGGACCCCCATATCCCCTCCCATGTAGTGACCCCCCACTCCCATATGGGGGACCCCCATTCCCCCTCCCACGTAAGTACCCACCACTCCCATATGGGGGACCCCCATTCCCCCTCCCACGTAAGTACCCACCACTCCCATATGGGGGACCCCCATATCCCCTCCCACGTAAGGACCCACCACTCCCATATGAGGGACCCCCATATCCCCTCCCATGTAGGGAGATCCCCTCCCTGCTGTCCGAGCCCCTCCAGGTTCCCCTGCCTGCCCCCCAGGGCCCCCACCCAGATGTCGGGGCCCCCCCGCAGGGTCTTACCCGAGTCCGAGATATCGTCCCAATAGGGCGAGTCGAACTCGAACTCCCCTTTGAGGATCTGGGCGAAGAGTTCGGAGTCGTTGTCGTCGTAGAAGGGGGGGTAACCGCACAGCCTGGGGGCGGACGGGGGGGTGAGAGACGGGGGACCCCCCCATGGACACCCCTTCCCCAGGGGGCCAACGCTCCCCACAGCCCTCCCGGACACCTGGGTCCCCTGCCCCATGTCTCCTCCCCTCCCCAGAGACACCGGCCCGGACGCCTGGGTCCCATTCTGCGGGGCCGAGTGTGCTGTGGGGACCCCTGGTAGCGGTGCCCCCCGGACGCCTGGGTTCTCTCACCCCCGGCAAGGGCGGGACTTACAGGATGTAGGAGATGACGCCCAGCGCCCAGGAATCCACGGCTTTCCCGTAGGGCTTCTGCTCCAGGAGCTCGGGGGCTGGCGGGTGAGAGACGGGAGTCAGTGCCCCGGCCCCCCAAACTACCCCGTCCCCCCCAAACTGCCCCCATGCCCTCGGCCCCCGCCTGCCTCTGGCCCCCCAAACTGCCCCCATGCCCTCGGCCCCCGCCTGCCTCCGGCCCCCCCAAACTGCCCCCGATGCCCTCACCCACGTAGCCGGGGGGTCCCACAGGCCGTGGCCATCACCCCGTCCGACTCCAGCTTGGAGAGCCCGAAATCCGTGATCATGATCTTGGCGTCCTCGAGGGGGCTGGCGTAGAGCAGGTTCTCGGGGCTGGGGGGGCGGGGGGGGGGTTACACTGGGGGGGCATCTGGGCAGAGACCCCCCCATCCCCTCCTGCACGCCCCCCCCCAGACTGCACCCACAATCCCGCCTCATTACCCTAACCCCCCCATCCCCTCTCAGATCCCCCCACCCCCTCTGAGACTCCGCCCCCTGCTGTGACTCCGCCTCCACCAGGGTCCCCCTGAGACCCCGCCCCTGGTCTCTCGGAATCCCCGCCCCCAGGCCCCTCTGAGGCCACGCCCCCTCGACGCGGCCCCGCCCCTCACCTTGAGGTCCCGGTGCACGACGCCCAGCTGGTGCAGGTAACTCACGGCGCCCAGCACCTGCCGGACGAGGCGGCTGGCGTCCCGCTCCGTGTAGTGCCCCCGCGCCACGATCCGGTCAAACAGCTCCCCCCCCGTCACCCTGCCAGAGACCCCCGTGAGCCAGGGGACCCAGGCGTCCGGGCTCCCAGCCCCCCTGCTCTACCCCACTAGCCCCCACTCCCCTCCCAGAGCTGGGGAGAGAACCCAGGAGTCCTGGCTCCAGCCCCCCCTGCTCTAACCAGCAGACCCCTCCCCCAGAGAACCCAGGAGTCCGGGCTTGCAGCTCCCCCCTGCTCGAACCACCAGCCCCCCTCCCCCAGCAGAACCCAGGCGTCCGGGCTCACAGCTGCATGGCCAGGTACAGGTGCGTGGGAGTTTCGTGGATGTTCTCCAAAGCCACAATGTTCTCGTGATGGACCCTGCAACGGAACGGGGGGGGGGTCAGCCCCAAAACAACCCCAGAGCCCCCACCCCCCCTCCCCACACCCCTCCCGCTCCCCACCCCCCAGCTCCCCAGCCACACACCCCTCCCCATACCCCTCCCGCTCCCCACACCTCTCCCCCCGCTCCCCACCCACACACCCCTCCCCCTCCCACCCCCCTGCTCCCCAGCCACACACCCCTCCCCCTCCCCACACCTCTCCTCCCTGCTCCCCCTCCCCACACCCCTCCCCCCTGCTCCCTAGCCACACACCCCTCCGCCCCGACCCCCCCTTACTTCCGGAGCACGGCGATTTCATTCTCCACAGCCACCTCCTTGCCCCGCAGCGCCTTCTTGGGGATGCATTTCAGGGCCACCAGCCGGTGGGAGCCCCGCTCCTCGGCCAGGAACACCTCCGAGAAGGCCCCTCTGCGGGACAGACCAACATGGGCGGCTGCCCCCCACCCCAGCAATGCAGAGAGGGGGAAACCGAGGCACGGAGACGCTGGAGAGCGGATACGTCCACCAGAGTCACCAACCCAGGAGTCCTGGCTCCCAGCCTCCCCGCTCTACCCCACCAGCCCCCCCTCCTCCCACGAGCC